TAATACCTACTCTATTAAGGAACCCTACCTTAGTTAGAACTACTTATAGCTCGGATTATAATACTTTAACTACTACTTAATTAGTATTAGATATTTAACGTAGGATTATCTCGAATTAGATTTCTACTACCTAGCGTACGACTACTTATAGCCTTAAATAATTCTTTAAAGACTAATATTATTTAAGATAGTAGTTCTAATAAAGACTTAAATATAGATATAGTTAACGTACTAAGACTTACTAATATATCTAGGGATAGTATTAAGGTAGAACTATTCTATAGAAATAGAGAGAAGCTAGGATACTTCCTTATATAACTTAAGACTACTTTTAAACTTAATCTAACTAAGTATACTAGGGTAGAAGATAAGGTTATATTCGTAGTAATATACCTTAAAGGAGTAGCGTTCTATTAGTTTAAACTAGTATAGAACGACTACCTCGAGTCCTCTAGCTCCGATAACGAAACTAGAGTATACTTTAAGAACTTTACGTAGTTCGAAATAATAATTAAATAGATCTATAGTACGATTAATAAGACTATAGTAGCTTCTCGTACTATTTATACCCTTAAATAAATAGAATCTATAGCTAACTATTATTCGAAATTTAAGAAACTAGCGAAGAAACTAGAGTATATAGACGATAATATCTTTAAGAATACGTTCTATAATAGATTAAAGAAGGAAGTTAGAAAGGAAATAATAGAGCGCCTAGAAATCTATAAAAATATAGTAGATAAGACTATTAAACTTAATAATTAACTATACGAACTATATATAAAAGATAATTAAGGAAGGAGCTTAGGAAAACGAAGATACTAGAAGTATCGATATTTTCCTCGAGCTAATACGAAACGCCTATAAGACTACGAAGACTCTATAGATCTAGATACTATAGAACGTTATAATATTCGACGAATAGGCCTAGGTAGAGGCTAAAATATAGAGCGAAAGGTTATAGAAGAACGAGATTAAGAGAAGGAAAGATAAAAGAAGGAAAATCTATACTACGAATATAGTAAGCTCGAATACTATATACGCGATTACCTAGAAAAGAAGAGCGCTTAAGGACTATATATAATAAATATATAGAGCGGTAGTATAGACGGCTTAATAGCGAAAAAGGTCGATACTATTAAAAAAACCTAAAGACCTACCGAGAGTAGGAGTAAACTAGTATAAAAGGACTACTATAAATCGAATAATTTTCGAGGATTAAGTAGATTAGATACTAAGTAATTAGAAGAAGAATTCTAGTTAAGATATTAAACTAAGAAATTTAAGCGTAAGACTTAGAAGAAAGAAAAGTTCGACGAACTTCTAAAGGAAGAATAGTAGAGCGAAGTAGTATATAATACGAGGAGAAATATCGTAAAATACGCTTAAGAATTATAGTACTTCTACTATAAGAATAACTACTAATTCTATTTAGCTTTAAAGACCGAAAAATAGTAGTTTCTATATAGAGATAGAGAAAGTATAAAACCTCGAAAATAAGAATAGAAGGTCTAGGAAACTCTAGTTATAATAATAGCCGATTTCGAAAAAGAAATAATACTTATAAATATAGATAACTATATAATAATTAGAATAAGGTTCTAGAAGATAGTTAATAGAGTTATAGTATTAAATAGAAGAGTAACGTAGAAGACGTTTAGGACGATATTAATCTATAAGTATCGAGCCTAAGGATATTAGTAATATAGATATATCTATATATATACTAAAGATAGAGAATCGTATTAACTAGGAATTTAGCGAGAGAAAGATAAATAGATATCGATAGACGAAATACTACGATAATATAAGAACTCTACGAAATTCTATATATACTTCTAGGATAGAAGGAAAAGAAAAGTTCTATATCGCTATAATCTAGGCGCTACTTCTAGGAAAGAATAGAAATATATATAGATCTAGAAGTATAATAACTAGGAGTACTTCCTATAAGCTAAATATATATACGATACGTATAACGAAGAAGCTTACTTTATAATCTTTAAAGGGCTCGATAAAGGAGTAACTTATACGGAAGGATAGCTAGTTTAGCTTAGATAGGAACTATTTAGTTTTAGGACGGTAACGCTACTACCGCCTTATTATAATATATTTATAATAGAGAAAGGACTCGCGAATAAGATTTTACTAAATAAGTTCGACCTAGTAATTATTCGAACCTACTACTAGGTAGTAGAACTAGCGGAGAATCTCGGGATATAGTATAATCCTCTAGAATAATCGAAGAGAGAAAAAATCTACGTAATAATCTATAAATACGCCTAGAATAAATACGAAAATAAAGAAAATAGTTATATATACGACTATATAGACTATATATTCTCTTTTCTATTTAGAGAAGGAGAAAACGATAACTAATCGAAGAAATTATAATAGTAGTTAAATAAATACGAGAAGATAAGACTATAAAGAATAATATATACCTACCTCGATAATATTATATTAATAGAAGAAGAAAGTAAAGTAGTAGTATCGAAATATTATCTTATAGTATTTATTACTAACTATTACTAGGTAAGTATTAAAGACGATATTAAAAAATTAATATTCTATCCTAGCGGACCGAGATAATTAATTCGAAGGCTAGTTAGCCTAAACGAATACTACGACTTAGTATATTTAATAGTAGCTTCTTACTATTTATACGATATAGTAGGGAGTAAAGTAGTACGCTATAACCTACTAGTATAAATAATCGAAGGAATATAAGTACGACTAGTATTCCTTAATAATAGAGAAGAAGAATAAGAGGAAGTAAACGCTAAAGAATTAGACGAAGACTCCGAGGTACCGTCGGAAGAAGAAGAAAAATATTATATAGCTAAGGTTACGAGGAATTAAATTAAGATTATAATAAAGTACTAGAAATATAGTAAATATATAGAATATACTAGCGAGACGAAAAAATATTTCTATATCTATTACGATCCTAGAATAAAACTATAAGAGTAATAGAACGAAATTAATATATTATTTTACTAAGATTATAGATATAATTAAGCGTTAACTATATATATATATATATAAGGGCTAACCTACGAATAGATTATAGTTAACCTCGACTAGGAAGACGTAAAGAAAATCTAGGGAATAGAAGTTCCGACTATACGAAACTTATATATAATATAGAAGGATAAAAAAGAAGATATACCTTATATTAATAGATAAATAGGCTCGACGTACCTATTCGATTATTTTAGCTACGCGGAAAGGAGCTACTAATAGTACTTTAAGCTATATTAATACCTATAGAATATAAGTCCTAATTAACTCCGAATTCTAATTAGTAAAATAGTATATTAATTAATAGACGAATACGATAAACGTACCTACGTAGTAGAATTAAGACTATATATATATATTTAAAAAACGACGAAGGAATAACCTATTAAGGCTAGATTATCTATAATAATAGCCTTAAACTCTATACGAGTTAAATAGAAGTAAGGCGGAATATATAGTTCTTACGACCGTTCTATAGAACCTTTCTATACGACTTATAGTAGACTTCGGAGTAAACGAAAATTATATTTTATACTACGTAGCGTAAAGGTTAAAAGACTACGTAAAGGCGAAGATAGAACTATACTAACTTATAATAGTAGACGAGTCGCTAATAGAATTTAAGAATAAATAGATAAGAAAAGAACTATAATAGATCGAACTAGTAATAGAAACTTATTAGGAAAGACCCTAAATATAATAGCGATAAAATATAACGCTATACTAAAAA